CATATAAGCATATGTATATGCATATACATAAGCAAAATCATATGTATTCAATTTCTATATGCATATACTTATTCTTATGCATATGTATATGCATATATTTATTCACATATATATATATATATATATATATATATATATATATATATGCTTACTCTTATGCATATACTTATGAATATGCATATGCATATACTTATGAATATTCATATGTCATATACTTATTCTTATGCATATGCATATACATAAGCATTATCATATGTATGTAATTGTCATATGTATATACATATTTTTATGCATATGTCATAATACATATATATATATATATATATATATATATATATATATATATATATATATATATATATATATATATATATATATATATATATATATATATATAGATATATATATATATATATATATATAAGCATAATTATATGTATTTAATTCTGATTTTTTCCCAATTTAATTATTAATACCTGTAAACATTTGCAAAATAATTCTTGTAACCGGTTAGTGTCAGTTTCAGGGGTTAAATTGTAAAAATAAATAAATAAACTTGGATTACTTTTTCGTTAATAAGATTAAAGTTTAAGGAATTTTCTAGAGATTTTCTTTTTTATATATACTATATATATTTGAAGAAAACTTACATTTATTTATTAAAAAATCAAAATAAATATAATTTTTTTATTAAAAAAACAAAATAATGATAATTTATATATGATTTTTGGAATTTATTGTAATTTTGTTTAATAAATATATGTAACATCCTGTTTCGAGAAGTTTCTTATTTCGGGATTGTGGAAAATAAATAGATCAAGTAAAGGCATTGGGCTTTAAGGGAATAGGCTTTAGACCCTATTGGATGTTAATAATATTGGTTATGTGATCTAATCAATTGGTTTGTGTTTTGAAGTCAAAGAGTAAAATGAAAAATGTGATGTTTCGGACATCTTTCATGAATTAAGGATTTTAGTTTTTATGTTTTAAGTCAAAAGTAATTAGATAGAGTTCTGGGGCTCGCCAATACCTTTTCGTGCATATAATAGGTTAATATATTTATAATTTTATACACATTTAGTCTTTAATGTATTTTTGCACATTTAGTCCTTAATACTTTTGCAATGCCCGTAAGTTAGGGTTAGATTATTTAAATTGATGTTGATATATTGTGTACATGTTTTATGAGCAAATATTATTGACTTATAATAGTTTATAAAACTATATCGTAAATTTAACAAATTATGATAAATAAATGTCAAAAAGTAAAAGATTATTTGGGATAAATAGTCGTGATGAATGATTATATGACAGAGATGTATAATCATATATGATTATATATGTTTATACATATATGCCTAATCATAACTGATTATACATATATGTTTGTTCACAGATTGAATAATCATATATGATTATGGTGGTTGGTGACAGAGGCGATGGTGGTGGCAGAGGTGGCTGTAGTATAAGTGAAAAAGGTGGAAGTTGTGGGGTTGGTTGGTGGTAGAGGTGTTGGTAGTGGTGGTGGCGGTTGTGGTGGTAGGTAAACTAGCGGGGAATCAACGTCGATGAATAATTATTTATGATTATACCTCTCCCGCCGCGCCAGTATGCGGAGTGTTAGAGCAGCAAATAAGAAATGTGGTTCAGTTCATAATACTCTAAGTGTATCTATAAGCCTTTAGTGCTGGCTAAATTCAAAATTTTGGACTGAAATAATTTAAAACATTTTACTACATTGACAACTCATGCAAAAACCAAACCGGTTTGAGTTTTAAAACCAAAAAAATGATTTTCACTATCTTGGTTTGGTTTTATCCAAAAACTTACCCAAACTGACCCATGTTCATCCCTATAATACAGTCTTTTTCGGTCCAAGACCTATTCAGTATTCGACTTGTTTTCAAGACCGATTTAGAATTGGTGTTTTTGCTTAGGTCTCCTATAACCTCACCGAACCGATTAAAAACCAATCTAAAGCCATTTTAAAACGGGATAATGACTTAAAAGGGTAATATACTTTTCAATTTGTACACATTTGGTCACTGAGTTTTTTTCATACATGTTTGTCCCTTCAACCTTATTAACTTTACACATTCAGTCCTTATGACTGGCTACTCCATGTAAAATGGAAAAATAACTTATTATGGTAATATATTTTTCATTTTGTACACATTTAGTCCTTACTATATTTTTGCACATTTAATCCTTAATATTTTTGGAATGCACACAAGTTAGGGCTAGACGATTCAAATTGATGTTAATATATTGCGTACATGTTTTATGAGCAAATATTATTGACTTATAACATTTGTATAAAACTATATCATAAATTTAACGAATTATGATAAATAAAAATTTAAAAATAAAAGATTGTTTAGGATAAATAGTCTTGATGAAATTTGTAGTAGTAGTGATGACAATCTACTAGATATAAGGAACGCTTAAATCTGACTTCGCACGAAGAAGTTATGATTCTTCAAAGTTTCACGTGCAACCCTATACGGGAAAGTGCGATGTAAAAATCGTATTGGAGATAGGTTGCTTATTAGCCTAAGTAATCTAAACGAAAGTCGTAGTAATCGTGAAAGTAAAAGCGTTCATATAAAGAACGCCTAAATGTGACTTCATATGAAGAAGTTATGATTTTTTGAAGTTTCGATACATTAGTGTACGACATAGAAATCGAAATTTAAATCGGTTGAGTGTTATCCAAAACAATGTAAACAAAAGTTGAAGATCTCGTGTATACGAATCAGCCAATATAATTAACACTTGGGTTCCAATCTATATCCAATAATCTTTACTTGGGGTAAAATGACCATTTTACCCATGACCTAGTGTGATCCAAGACTAAGGCCCAAATCCACAATCTAAAATGCCTAAAACCAAATAATCATTCATGGCCAATTTATGGCCCAATTTCCAAATTGGGCCCAAACCCTTTATATGGGCCTTATCCAAAAGCCCAATAATGTTCCTTAGTACAAAAGCTTGATTTCAGATGGCCCATTAAGGCCCAAATCAACAGGGTCCAAAGAAGTAACCCAACTGAGGCCCAAAAGATGCGAAGCCCAACAGACTGAGTACACAGGGTGTACTCAGTTGTACACTAAGCGTACATGCAACCTGGGTTGCACGCCGTGCATACGGACTTGTATGCCCAGCATACGAAGCCATTAAGCCAAAAATTAGTCTTAAGCTCGTAATGCTTAAGACCAAAAGCCTAAAACACAGATCTAAGACCTAAAAGACATCTAGAAGCATAAAGTCACTGACTTTGTGACCTTACATGCCCCAAAAGATCCCAAGATCAAGATATAGCATTGTACTTTCACAAAAATGGCATAAACTCATGCATGGATGGATCTAACCCTTAAAGGTGACAACTTTATGCATCTAGAACCTCAGAAACACTAAGAGTGACAACTCAAGCTCCTAGAGTGGTATCAAACCACTAGATCTCATTTTATGGGCCAAAAATGGATAAAAACTCAAACATAAGAGATCTAAACCATCATTAATCAAGTTCATAGCTTTTTAACTCAAATAAGCTGGAAATGAAGCAAAAGGTCGAGATCCACAAGCTCCTCCTTGATCCACAACCTTGCACCAAATTTCTACTTCTTGAATATGGATCAAGACACACAAAAATGGACACTATAAGCTCAAAATGCAAGAGAGAGGCTTAGGGTTTCGAGTATAGGGCTAGGAGGACAGAGGAGGCTGAGAAAATAAGGGTTTCTTGGTCCATAATAATGTTTATATAGTGCCCACACTTGAAAATTAGGGTTTTCATTAAGCCAAGCATAAGCCCCGCGTATGCACCCGGAACCCCGTCCAAGCCTTCGCATGAGTATGCTAAGCGTACTATTTGGTACGCTCCGCGTACTCGCTTTACAGCTTGTACGCTAAGCGTACCTTGTGGTACGCCCTGCGTATAACTCAGGGACTAAAATGCACAAATAAACTGAACAAGGGCAAAAGAGAAACTTACCAGGATTCAAGTGTTACAATGACCCTATTAAGTCATTTTTTTCCGGTTTACCTAGAGTAGTTGGTTATAAGGACTGAATATGTACAGCTAAACAAGTTTAAATATATATATATATATATATATATATATATATATATATATATATATATATATATAAATCTAAAAATATATTATCTTTATGTTTTTAAAAGCCATTGGTGCAGCTGTGGTTGTTGGCCTTTTGGGTCATCGCTCAAGGCCCAATCTTGAGAACAGCCCAATATTCTGCACATTGTAGGAGCGAGATCAAAGAGACGCATCATTAGCTTAAGCAGGCGGAGGAGCGACGCCGAAGAGAAATTGGGGAAACAAAATCTTTACGAATAAAATCCGAACGAAATCGTCCATATCGAAGCAGCGTTCCAAACCCAAGCCATAGGCGGGAAGTTTTTTAGTGCTACAGGTACAGATTAGCTCTTAAACAGTTGAACCGCATTCAAGTTCCTCATTCCTCGGTTTAATCAGGTAAATCATTTCTCAACAATATCTAAATTTTGTGATTTGTGTCGATTGCATCTCTGTTTACATTCTACCGGTACTCCGCACCGATTTTGTTCTTCTTATTTGCGTAATTAGGTTATCTAGGGTTTCGTTTGAATTTAGTATTTTGGTCATACGAACTAATGAAACTGACTGATCTTTATAACACTGTAATTCGGCAATCCATTTGTGTTTTGGTTCCTGACTGATTATGTTGAAGATGTTTGATCCTCTTCCATGGTATTGAATTTGTTCAACGATTATTGTAATCACGATTTTATTTAGTCAACAGATTTTCAGCAATTGCATTATGATTTTGTGTTTGATTCGCTTCAAAATGGCATTGAATATGTTTATCTTCAAACTGAATATGTATACTCTGAAACTGATGTGGTGTGATTACTGATTACTGATATGTATCTAAGCTTTAAGTCTACAGAAACCATTCAACAATAAGGCTAGTTTTTTTACAGGATCAAAAGCCATGGATGATGCATTTACCATTCAAATAAGTGGAAACTTAGTCAAACAGCTAGCAGACAACACCAACAAGGTAAAGAAAAAAACAAGAAAACCAAAACCCAAAACTCCCCAACAACACCCAATCCCTCCACCACCACCACCACCACCACCACTACCAACTGCCGCTACATGGCCACCAATGTACCTCCCAATTCCACCACCTTCACCACCTGAGGTGAATGCCATTCGTTCTGTTCTTGAAGACAGTGAGAGGGTTTTGGAAAAACTACAAAAGCAAGAAGATGCAATGTTGTTTGAAGTGACACAAAAGGCAAAAGAGCTTCATGAAAAAGAGTTTAAGCTTCCGGAAGCAAAACCTATGCCATGTTTGACCGATTTGACCGCTTGTTTGGATTGCTATAAAGAAAATGTCAAAGACCCGTTGAAATGCAGTGCCCTTGTCAAGAATTTTGCAGATTGTGCTCGCACTATAAGGCAACAGATTCGTGAATTAAAGTAATAAAAACTTTTTACATGTTTTTGACTTGATAATAACTCAAAATTGTTGAATCAATTGAACAAATATTTGTGTTTTTGTATGGAATGTTTTTGGAGACTGGAGTTTTGTACTCTTATTAAAGCATGGAATTATTGCTTGATATGTTCATTGTGAACCACATTAACAATTTTTACAATTTTGTCAAGTTTTTGTTCCAAGATGTGTTATTGACTTTTAGTTATGAATCTGAAATGATTTAAATGTTGATGAAATATTAGATGGGATAATAGTTGAAAGCATTTTAGAATAATTGCAAATATTATTGTATCTTGTTTTTAAGAATCATGAGAAGTGTTATTCCAATAATTCCATCAAGTTGGCAAGGTTTTCATAAATAATAAATGGTCTTCAAAGTTGACATTGAGGCATTCTTTGACTTTCTCAATTGGCTTCTCTTTACGTTATGAGGTACATGGGGTTTGGTGATAAATGGAGTGAGTTATGAGATACATGATACGACCTGTTCGAGAGTGTCAGTTTTTAATAGAAAAACAGAGGAAGGAAGAGAGCTTTGGGGCAAATTTTAGGAAAGCTCTCTTTATGATGTATTCCATTGAACAGATGCAATACATTAAATAGGATAGCTACCACTACTTGCTAAACTTAAGGAAGAAGATACCAATGAAATGGAATTAACTGGTGGGACTAAATGAAAGGTACTCATGGAGAAAATAATGCATGCACTTGAAATTGGACATGGTCTTCCAGAAGCTTGGAAATCTTCACTTGACCCAAGTTTTATTAATTCCTTTATTCTGGATTGGATCTTTAATCTTCGAATCGGATTGGGTGACGTTTGATCCTTATTGGCCTTTCACTCCGCGTGGACTCTATGCTTGGATCAGGGCTCGTATCAATAGACGTGCACAAAAAATGGTTGGGTTTTCTAACCGGTTCATGGTTCAGTACAGTCCGATTTAGAAACTACTTTGATAGTAACTGTATGGTTTGTAGCCGAATCGATGATTTATACCGGTTTAAGGATATTACCATAAGAACCGGTTAAATCTATAAAAATCGATTTTGATATAGTAAAAAAAATATTGACTTTTTTTAATTATTTCATTAATTTGTTTTTAATATAAGGGTTTGGATGTTTAACCCCCCCCCCCCCCCCCCCCCTCTATTATCTACGGTGCCAGAAAAAACACTTTTCTAAAAATTAAAAGTTGGAAAATGTCGTTTTGAACAATTAAATATGTCAAATGTCCGGAAAACACCGTAAATCATGATAAAAATATGAGTATTCTTATTGAAGAAGTATACATGTCCAAAATCGACCTGCACGAACCCTCATTTGGAAACCAAATTGCTTTAGTGTACCTTTAGGAGTGGGTTCGTGCATGGATGACTTCTTCAATAGCCCCAATTCTAATCAACGAAATCTCCTACATATGAGTTATTTATTAAATGAGGTATTAAATGAGAATCAAGACAAGGTGATCCTCTATCATTTTTTTAATGTTCTAGCCATGAAGGGTCTTCATGTTGCTTATAAAGAAACTATCACGTGGAATATTTACAATGGTTTCATATTGAAGTCTATGGCTTGGTTATTTCCCATTTTCATTTGCGGATGATGCCATTATTCATAGAGATAGGTATTAAGAAACTATAAGAAATATCCTTATACTTCAATGTTTCTTCTTGTTTTTTTGCTTAAAGATTAACTTAGCAAAGATTAACATTGTGGGTGCTTGTGTCTCTTTCAAAGAGGCTAATGACATCATATATTATGCGGTGTCGATTGAGTAATTTTCTTTTTACTTATCTATGTTTTTCGATTGGAAGAAATATATCTAAATTCCAGGGTTGAAGACAATTATTGACCGATTCCTAAATAAATATATTGGTGGAAAATGAAGTTCTCGTTGAAGGGTTCTAAACGAAATATATGGAAATATTACATTGTGAATTCTTTTGGGAAGGAAAGATCGGAGATAGGGAGATGTGTTATATAAAGTGTAACACCCTTTTTCCATAATGGATTTGTGTAGGACATAAATGACTCAAAGGCATGGTTTGTGGAAAAAATCTTGTGTCACGACATGACCATATGGAGGTCACGACGTGACGAAACAATATGAGAACGTGTATTCGAAAGAGTGTCACGACGTGACACGAGTGTAGTCAGGACATGACATGAGCTGCAACCCAAGCCCATGATCTTTTAAGTTTTCCTTCGTATTTACCCTAATCTTGGATTTAGGGTTTCATTTTTAGCCTCCATCATTCTCAAACCTCAGAAACCCTAACCCTAATCCTTCTTGGTGATTCTTGGCTCATTTTGCTGCTTTTGGTAGCTTGAAGAAGAACAAGAAGGTGTTCTAGTGTGTTGATCTAGCAGGGAAACCTCATCATCATCCTCTTGTGCATATTCTGGACTTTTGTAATTGTCCAAGATTCAAGCTTTTTGGTTGCATGTTTCTAGATCTAAGTTCTTTGTCCCTTTTCTTCATGTGGTGGAAGTTTGGAGGAATTGATAGCATAAAGTTTGCAACTTTATGGATCCTTGAGGTCCCTTGAGTGTTATATATTTTGGATATGAAGATTGGCCAACTATTGAGAACATTCATGTGTTATGGTTCCATTTTTTCATCATTTTGACTTAATAAGAGACCAAGGCATGCATGTCTATAAAGCATCAAATTTTTTTGGATGTTTTTGGAGTATAAATACCCTTTGGAAAGTTGGAATGGATATCTTAATGGATTAAGGGATGAATGCATTAATTTTCCCCAAAATGAAGTAGTCACGACGTGACCATATGGAGGTCACGATGTGAGGATGGAATTTTCCCGACTATTTTGGACGCATTCTGTCACGACGTGATGGTATGGCCATCATGACGAGACAAGGGTTTTGATCGCAGATGAGTGGTTCAAATATGGATTTGTTGATTAAGGTTGGGTTGCTGGCCAGGACGTGACCATGGACCGGTCACGACGTGAATATCGACCGTTGACTTTCGTTGTTGACTTTAACTATTACCGTTAACTTTTGGCATGGGTTGACTTTTGGTCAAATTTCTGATTTTAGAAGGTAGACTTAGGTTTACCTTGTGTGGTTTATTAGGAGGTGTATAGCACCCGTTCATTTGCTGTGAGAATTGTTAGTTGTTTATTTCATCGGCAATGTGAGTCTTCTCACTGTACCATGTAGGTAGACCAGGTGGTGGCCCCTGACAATTGTATGAAATACCAGGATGTGGCTCCCGACAATTGTATGCAAGACTAGGATTTGGACCCTGACAGTTATACGTAGGATGCTAGTTGTCTTTGTGATACTTGCATGGAAGACCCCCGGGGTAGGGCCTTGCATTCATATGGAAGACCATGGGGGTAGCCTATGTCACTTGTATGTAAGGCCATGGGGTAGCCATGTAAATGTGAGGAAAGACCATGGGGGTAGCCCATGACAATTGTATGAAAAACAATAGTAGTCTATGACACTTGAATGCAAGATCATGAGGGTAGCCCATGACAATGTATGTATGGAATGTGGTATTTTGGGGAACTCACTAAGTTTTGTGTTTACGGTTTGTGGTTTAAACGTTTTCAGGTACTTCTAGTTCCAAACGGAATGACTCGGCTTGACGCACAACATCCCCTGATGGCTTTTCCACACTGATTATTATAGTTTTACTCTGATGTTTGAAAGACACATTTTACTCTGATTGGTTTTGGTTACCTTATTAGATGATTTTCTCTTTACTTATCTACCTAATAAGTGGCCTTGGATTTTTGAGGATTCAAGTATTTTTTTTTTCTATTGGTTCCACAAAACAATTTATCGAGTTGTTCACTCCGACTATAAGAGACGATTTTACAAGGTGGAACAATTTGGTACCTACTGAAGTTTATATTTTGGGGGTAAAAAGTTAGCTTAAATTTGTTAACGATCAATGTTAAGTTAAATGACGGAGGGTTGGGTCTTAACTCACTTATGTGCTCCATGTTTGAAATATATATCGAGTCTACTGATCACGTATTTACTTCAAACAGTTCGGGTAGTTCACTTTGGCAATAGATGGTTCATTTTGACGGATTCCAAAGCTAATGTAGAAATTTGGACTAGTAGTAAATCACAGGTCATGATTCATGAAATCTAACAAATGTGGTTCATTTTCTTTCTGCCAAGTCAAAATATCCAAAATTAAAAAAGATCATATGTACTAAAAAACTAGTTCCAACTTCCAACATAATTCTTCTGATTCGGTACTTGAGGTGTTTGATCGTTTTCAGTTACCTGGTTCATTTCATAAATTGTTATAGAGCCTATATGTATTGTCATTATCGACATCAAATGGTACCCTTTTCGTTGAGACCTTCAAAATGTCATGTATTGCATTATTGTTTGAATCACATTTCACTACATAAATGTCGAATAATTTTTAACTTTTATGTTTATTTATGTTTATGCAAAATCACGGTCTTCATCATGTAAATCTAAATTGTATGTTGTATTTTCGTATAAATTCTTTATCCTATGACATTTATAGTTGGATTCAAGACGGTGACACAAATAAAAAAATAAAAAAAACTATATAAAATTTTGATTTCATTGGCTTATCTTTTTTTTTTTGAACCAGCGAAGGAATATATTAATAAAGCGACCCAACAAGATGCTAGTCAACGAAGGGATGCAAGTAGATAATTAGGAAACAATTACAAACTTATAAAAGGACCTTTGCTCCAATCTGTCCATTTTAAACTTCCATTATCATTCCTATGTTGCTTCACATTTAATATTCGTTTAAATTTGATGTCATTAATTTTTTTGATTAAGATTTAAGCAACACGTCGTCTAATAAAGGTCGATAAAAGTGATTGTTTCTTAAAAAACTTGAAGCATGCCAGCTAATTGTTGGTGCAATAATTAATCCGACTCTAGAATAGAGTATGACCTATTACGCTTGGCAAGGAGATCATGAAAAAAATTTAATGTCTTTTTGTTGTTACCGAAATCCAAACATACTATATTTTCACTTGTGTTATGTAGATGCATCCTAGTTAGAAACCTAATAAAGAGGAATTCACGTTGTTAACAAACTTTATATACATATTATATACAATGTTATTATCCCCGAAAGCCTATTATAACATGTCATTAAATAATAGGTTCAATATATTTAAGTTTGTCTCGCGGGACGATGTGTATGGTATCGGGTATATACAAATTATACGCGGCAAAATGCTTATATTTTATTTTAATTTATCCAATGACGTTATTATTCACCGCATCATAAAAAGTAAAAAAATTATAACTTAAAAGCGGTAATCATGTAATTTAAAATTCTATTAACATTTTGTCTAGTATCCATATATGCACACAATTTAAACAGGAATGTGCGGGTCATCATTAGTTAGCCGATTTGCACGTTTAGCCAATAGGATGTAACGACAAGAAACACATCTAGTGAACGCATTGGCGGATCCTGCACTTCGGTGTAGTGGGACCATTTTATATAAAAATTAATTAATACATAAATAACAGTAATTATATAGTTAACTTTTCACGTTTTTTTTCTGATTTTTAGGCAAATTAGGTGCAAAAAATGTTAAAGTGGGGACCATATATGTAAATTTTTCTAAAAAAAACTATTTTTTGCATATAGTATATATGATGGTACACCCTTTTAAGTGGGGGCAAGACACCCCACTAAAAGTGGCTGTATCCGCCACTGTATCCGCCACTGAACGGTGTGAAGTTGTTTAAACATCACATGCTTAAACTTACTTTATATTCTAATTTTGAAAATTTTAAATCATTTTTTTTTTCATTTCGCACCTACCTTTTAATTTTATATAGGACGTTGTTGGGATTGTTTTTCCAAGTAATTATTGTTTTTTTAGAAAAGCCAGGAAATCAGCTTTTAGAAAGACTCTTTTTTGTCTATAAAATTACTATTTGCCAAATATATTTTTAACTTATTGGTTTTTGATTTTATTTAGTAGTTAAAAATGGTAATTTTGTAAAAGTTTAGAGACTTATTAAGTTGGAAAGTTTAACCACTAATTCACTAAACTTTAAATAAAATTTGAATACTTTAGCAAGCAGCCAAGCACGTCAATACAGGTCAAATACTCTTTATATAAATTATCAAATCATATGTTACTATTCCACTCACAAAGAAGTACACAAAACATTTTGATGATACCTATAGAATTTATCTTTTTTTATTAACCAAATTGAATATAAAATTTAAACCATAAAATAACAAAAATATAATTTCTTTTATATAATATTCCAATTTTTTTTTTTTGAAAAAACAAGAAAATCATTAGAAATACATGTGAAGAAGAAATCCTAAAAAGAAACATGCCTTTTGCAATTTTGACCGACAATCCCCCGACTCGTTATGTTAACAGCAAAGGAACAGTTCATTGTTACCGTTGCTTTTTTCTTAATGATGTTCAGTATCTTAACCCTTCCCTTAATCTTTGTATAACTTTCCACCGGCAGTATCCCCGTCGATAAATCAATCCCAAACTGTTGGTTTCCGGTGATTTCCGCCACCGCCACTTCAAACGTCAAGTTCAATCTCATCGTCCGCCTTGCCTTAGCCACCCCTCCGGGAACGTCCGCCACTCCGATCACCGTCTGATGGTACAAAAGACTCGAATTTGACCTTTTAAACTTGAATGCCGCCACATTATTGTTCTTCACGGAGACGTCTGCCACCACTGTCAGATTGGCTTTACCAGTGAGTAGATCTGTTGAGTTGACTCGGTCAAATCCGATGATCGTTGCTGAGTTCATGGTGATTTGTGGGTTTTTGACATGGAGGACTGTGAGGCCTAGGACTAACAGCACCACCGCGATGATGAGTACGACGGCGGTGATGATACCGCAGTAGATGGTGCATTTGCGGAAGCCTTGGCTTTGCTTATTTGATGTGGTGGATGAGGCTTCGTCTACGGTGGTGGTAGGCAGATGACGGATCTCAGGCGCCGGAGATAAAGGCTTCTCTTGATCGTCGTCCGTCATCAGTTTTTGGTTTGGCAGAGACATGATTGAGATTGATCCATGGCAGGCCAAGTTAATGGTGGGTGGGGCTCATTTTATTTGTCCAACTTTGATTCGTTGACTAAGAATTTGGATTTGATGGTTGACATAGAGTTTGGAAGACCAGGAAGCCCAAATGCTATGAATTTCCTTGGCAATTACAATTTACATGATTAATGAGCTTATTTAATATAGAAAAAAAATGATAAATTTATATATACGGTGTTTTTGGTTTTTTAGATTCTCAATTTTTTTTCTTATATAAATAGTTCTGGGAAATGATTTGTCAAGGTAATTACCTTTTCGTATTTTCACGTTTAAACAATTTTTTTTGTATACATTTAACCATTTAACTTGTTAAATGTGGTCACATATTAACATTATTTAACAAGTTAAATGATTAAATGTGTAAACAAAAAGAAAGCTGTTTAAATATGAATATATTTTTTTTTTACAAATTTCTTATAATTTTTTTTATAATTTCTTACAACATTTTTATGATATTTTTTTTCATAGGTTTTTATAATATAATGTTTTAAAATTTGCTTATAATTTTTTTTAAACCTTTTTTATACTTTCATATAATTTTAATATAAGTGCTTTTAAACTTTGTTTTAACTTTTTTTTTTAATAATTTCATACTATTTTTTTTTATTTTTGTTTGTTATAAATTTCATACAATTATTTATAAACTTTCTTTTACAACATTTTAAAAATGTTTCATAGATTTTGTATGACAATTTAATACATTTTTTATACCATTTTAAAAAACTTTCGTTAAATACTAGTTTAAAACGTTGTTTAAAAAAATAAAAAGTTTATAAACTTTTAATTAAAAAGTATTAAAAATTTGTAATAATTTTATAACATTTACATTATATAGGTTTTGTTTTATTTTTTATTTGCTATGTAATAATTAATTTTTATTTTTTAAAAGACCATTCATACTTACTGTTACATATTTAATTTATTTAATTTTATTGTTAGATATTGCTGACCCACCATGTTGTTATGTAGAATGCTAGTTGTTGTAACATCCGTCTCTCGAGGTATTATTTAATTTAAGTAATTAATATTTGTTAATTGGACTAATAATGGGACAAGTGGATTTTTGGAGTCGACCTTAGCAAAGTGGGCCAAATAGTTGGGCTGCCCATAAGTCGTATGCTGGGTGTAACCTGGCGTACGCGGGGTGTAGAAGCGCCTAGGATGCGGGGGGCGCATGCACGTACGCGCAACGTACATGAGCAGACTCAAAACCCTAATTTTTAGGGTTTTAGCCATATAAATACCCCATTATGGCTCAAACCCTAGCCTCCTTACCCGTCCTTCACCCTCAGAAAACCCTAATACGCCCTCATACTCCATTGTTGTGTGTGTTTGACATTTTGAGCTTATTTTGGTGAAGAAAAGCTTGGAAGAAGAGAAGAGGTGTCACACCCCCAAACCGAGACGGCGGAAACGTTCGGGGATGGAGGACGTCATGTTCAAGTATCACAACAATTGTATAATAGTAATCAAAGCAACAACAACCACTGTATTAATAATATAGTGTTTACATTGCATTTGAATCATACATGATTGACTCCAAAAGTAAATAGCAAAATAAAGACTTGAAGCTACTATGCTCCGCCTTCTGGAAACCCTGCACGTGTACCTGTCTACTAGTGACCTGAGAATACAAGTGGTTTTGAAAAGTTTCAACATTAAAGTTGGTGAGTTCATAAGCATTTGTATTTGGAAAGTATGTTCTTTGAAAACCTTGGTTTGTTCCTCCAGAAAATCCTATATCTTTTGATGTAAAGAAATGAAAGTGTTGTTGACTCACACATGTAAAAGCGTTGAATTACAATTATGTTTGTATGCAAACCTTTTTGAATGTATGCCCTGGTTAAACGTACTTATGGAAAAGTATGTTTTGTACTAAAAAGTAGTAAATTGTACTTGTATTTAGTGATCCTAGTTGTACTTGTACTTAGATTGTAAGTTATATCGGTGTACATGGTACTAGAAAATAGTGAATTTCAGTAGTGCCAATAGTAGCGTTTATCCTGTAGTAATGTCTGTAGTATCCACAGTGTCTACAATAGTGTCTGGAATCCACCAGATGTAGTGTAAAAATAGTGTACTATAGTTTGATTAATTATCAAAACGTTTGTATGAAATCCTTTTCCCAATACGTAAACGTATTGTACTAGTAGTGTAGAGAGATTTAATATTAATATAAAATCTTTGAAGTAGTGTTAATCCCGTAAACCTTGTTTATACTATTGTGAGTTTCATATAACCATACTAATATGACCTAGTGGCCTCTACGACGTTCTTCAAACGTCGGTATTTATGACATTTGTCACACCCCCAGGCATGCCTGGCTAACTGTAGCTAGCAGTTTGGATGTGGGTTTGTTAGTCCCGTATAGATCTATACACAAATCTCACGCTCTCCATCCGGGAGACTCTGGTTATAATTTATAGGACTTGAACCTGTACCCTGGTGGGTACCCGAAGTAGTGTCTCACAACCCTATATTAACTGGTTTTACATATAGTGTTATAATGTTCTCTTGTATTAGTAATCGTTTGTATTATCCCGTAGTAGTGCACTTAGTAATATAAAATAATTATACTTAAATAATTATTTTAGTAGTGTGTACTTGTAGTAGTGATCTAGAGTAGTATTCCATAAACTATACCTATTATAGTTTAAATGTATGTTCTGTATGTATTGAAAGTTCTTGTAGCTAAACAGTTTGTATAACTCTATGAAACGATGAGAAAGATACCATTTTGCTCAACATGTTACAAAAGGGTTAAAGAGTTGTGTAAATAAAGCTTGTATGTATATATGTATAAGACATATGCATATAACCCTGTACTTTGAAATAAACGTATAAAATGTTTGAAGTAGTTTGAAAACACTTCTTAAAATAATTTAAATTAGTTGAAACGACTTGATGTACTTTAAAACTGTTTGAAATCTTTTGTATGTTATCATAAAATTACTTTTTGTTTTACTTGTATTCCCCCTAAAAACGTTTAAAAATAGTGAAAATGTAGGGGTACGAACTCACCTCTAGTGCATATTCGTGTTTGGATAGCGTAGCGGTAATGAAACAGATGTGATGATCCTCGGGCTAGCGTACATGCGAATAACGTTATCCTAAAATAATTAAACATGTAATGGTATTTAAATTAGTGAAACCATTAGTTAAAGTGTTAGCAAACACCTGCTTTTGTGTTAGGAATAGTTACCAAGAGTGTTGGAAATGAAGGGAGGGTTTTCGGTTCCAAGGGGTTTGCGGCCGAACACAGGTTTACGGCCGTAAACAGGTTCCCGGTTCAGGTAGTTCTCGGTTGCTTGAATATTTGAAGATGTTCTTGGTGTTCTTGGTGAAAATATGAAGATTTGAAGGTTTGTTCTTGAAGATATGAATGTTCTTGGGAGTAACTTGAGAGAGTTTTCGGGTGAAGAAGGTGAGAAATGAAAAATCTCTCCGGGAAAAACCTTTATATCAGTTGGGTTTTCGGCCGGAAATGGGCTCTCGGCTGTAAACAGGTTTACGGCCGTAAACGCGTGGCTGGACGAGTTTGCTGATTTTTCAAGGGAAATCTTGATTTTTCGAGCGTTCTTGGTTCCGAAGAATTATATAAATTTTATTTATATATATTTAAATTATTTTCTAACCCTCGCGAGCTTAAAGGAACAAAATAAAATTCGAAATTTCATTTTAGAAGGTTGACTTTTATTGACTGGAAAAATATCGGGTTGTCACAAGATGAGTTGAAGAAGAAGAACTTGAGTATCTTGAGCTCAAGGATCTGGGACTATTTCATCTTTTGGCACTCAAAGGAGGTATAAAGCTTCCAACTTTCCTCTTAGAAGCTTAGATCTAGGATTATGGAGCTTTGGACCTTTTTAGGTCCAAAGGATGGATCTTTATCATGCAATCTCATTTTTGAGCTTAGGGTTGCAACCCTTGGAGCCCAAAGCATTCCTTTAGCAATAAAGTTTCAACCTTTAAGGCCTTTATGTAACCATGCATGAGATCTAGCCATTTCTATGGAGTTAGTTGCTATTATTCTATGTTTGGGCTTATTTGGTGGGTTGCAAGCCACCAAGTGATCGACTATATGGATCAAGACATTGAAGAGGACTTGGATCTGCGATTATAGCCTTTGGATTAGAGTATTAAGAACTTAATGGGAAAATTGACTTAATAGGGAAGCACGTTGGGCGTACATGTAGGTACGCGCAACGTACACGCCATTTAACCAGTACACTTAGCGTACAGAGGAATACGCCCCGCGTACTCAACAAATATGGGCTTGGCGTGTTTTGGGCCTCGGTTTGGCCCATACTTTGGACCTTGGGTCTTTGGGCCTTAGTGGACCATCAAAAGTCAGATAATTTAGGCCAAGAATATGTTTGGGCTTAGGGTAAGGCCCATTAGGGGGAATGGGCTTAATTTAGAAAATCAGGCCATTAGTAGGCCACTAGTGGGCTTGGGAAGCCTACCTAGTGTGGGGCCTTTTGTATTAGGGTCTTGGACCTTAGATATGGACCAAGTAGGACCAAGGGGTAAAATGGTTATTTTACCCTAAGAAGATTATCAGATTTTGACAAAGTATTATTATATAGAGTTAGTCGGGGAGTCGTGGGAGCAGCCAGCAGAGATTCCTCACGCACGAGTTCAGCATTCAGTTTGAGAGGTGAGTCTTCTCCTATAGGAACGGGTCTAAGGCACCAAGGTCGGCCAGTTTATGTGTGATTGTATGTGTCGGGGTTAGCTCGATGTAGATTTTATGTTCCGGACTTCGCTTTGATGTCGGGGCAAGCCCGAGGAAGTTAGTATGCTTGATGTCTTCATGATTCTTGCATGCGTCTGATAATGTGTTCCAGAATTTTGTCCGATGTCGGGGCAAGCCCGAGGAATGTTAGATTTCATGTTATGCTTATGTTATGTTTATGTGTATGTTATGCTTGTTGATATGATATGTATACCGGACT